GACTGGATGATCTGGTTAAAACTGTAAGGTGCCTTGAGATGACATGTGTTGTGAATTGGCGCTATATAAATAAACTGAATTGAATTGAAATAGAATTAAATACGTATTCAAGTAAAGGCAGGTTAGTGAGTACCTTTGGCTAAATAATATACTGTACCTGAGACCAAAAGTGCCACAAACGCAAATATTGCATCATCAAATTAAAGATTGTTTTAATTTTTGGTGGATATAATGATGTTTTGAAACAGATGTTAGTTTTAATTTGTTTATGTTTTCGCCTGAACTTGTTTTGAATTGAATGCTCAACCTTATATGTGGTTGGTCTTAGATAAAAACAATTTCTATACAATAGAACAATGCATTCTACAGTGATTCATTCCCTATTCAGGTCAGCCACCTCAGGATTTCCCTCACTTTCCCAAGTATTTACCTTACTGTCTCTATGCGCTCATTACAACGGCTGTTTGCATGCGTTAGTCATTTTCAGACCTCTTTGTTTTGGAGAAAGGAGTAATGATCTAGAACCAATGTGCATTAAAAGCCTGAAGACCTCCCTCAGACTTGGTCATGGCCCACTGGCTATGGCCTTCATGTTATATTCACGGTCTCCTGATTGTGAATGTAAACCTGTATTTAGAAGTGTGTTTGCTACCAAGGATGACGTCCCTCCTGTTTCACCTCTTTTATCCTCCCCTTGTATCCAGACTGCATGGAAATAAAATGAGAATAATTTAGAAACAAATCAGTAGACTTTTAAAAACGGAGTTTATTTCTGATCAATGCTCCATTTGTGTTGGTACCTCAACCAGTTTCACAGGTGTAACAGTGAGACAGCTGCAAGAATGTGTGTCATCCATAAATCCGTCATAATTACTGTTTTTCTCTCTTCAGTGCCCACCCACTGTCCGTCTTTCATTTCTGCTTGTGTGAATATCCCGTTTTGATGGTCATATAAGGCAGCACACCTGTTACACTGACAGGGGAGCTTCCTTTCCCCCCTTGGGCAGCAGGTGTACGAACCTGTTGACCCATGTTTCCATAAGCACAGTGAGAAAGGAGTGGACAAAACATGTATGTTGTCATTTACTGATGGATAGACTAGATTTAAAACTACAAGCATAGCTTTTTTAGCCATTAGCATCTTATTTCACTAAACTGAACAGCCCCCCTATATCATCTTGATTGATTTGTCCTCACTAAAAGTACATAATAGACATCACTCTACTGTGACAAACAACTGGAACATTGACACACGTTAGTTTCAAGACTTACATTAACATTCTCACATTAGATGCATGCTGAACTGCTTAAAACATGAAACCAATTTATTAACAGTATCAAAACTAAACTTGTATTTTAAAGCTTGGTAGCCAATGCAAATATAAGTGATACAAAATTAAGATGGAGGTGTGAGTAGTGAGTTATCAATGAGTTAACGACAGAAAATAATTCATTTTTCTGAATCTATGTACGGTAATGTAAATTTGAATGGCCAAAAGTTTTTGCAATGTCACTTACTCGTACTCGTCGTCTCCCGCTTTATCCGGAACCGGGTCGCGGGGGCAGCAGACTAAGCAGAGACTCCCAGACTTCCCTCTCCGCAGACACCTCCTCCAGCTCTGCTGGGGGAAGCCCTAGGCGCTTCCAGGCCAGCCGAGAGACGTAGTCTCTCCAGCGTGTCCTGGGTCGTCCCCTGGGCCTCCTCCCAGTGGGACGTGCCTGGAACACCTCCCGAGGGAGGCGTCCAGGGGGCATCCGAAGAAGATGTCCGAGCCACCTCAACTGACTCCTCTCGATGTGGAGGAGAACCGGCTCTACACTGAGCCTCTCCCGAATGACCGAGCTCCTCACCCTATCTTTAAGGGAGAGCCCAGCCACCCTGCGGAGGAAGCTCATTTCAGCCGCTTGTATCCGGGATCTCGTTCTTTCGGTCATGATCCAAATTTCATGACCATAGGTGAGGGTAGGAACGTAGACCGAACGGTAAATTGAGAGCTTTGCCTTTTCGCTCAGCTCTCTCTTCACCACGACAGACCTGTGCATCGTCCGCATTATTGCAGCAGCCGCACCGATCCGTCTATCGATCTCCCACTCCATTCTTCCCTCACTCGTGAACAGGACACTTATTTATAGAAAAAGAATAATCTGTCACAGAGAGTTTTAGTTTATTTGATTTGAAAGAGATTTAATGATTAATTTGATTCTGCAAAAAGCAATATATTTTTCAAGCTCTAATTTTAGATTAAATGCCCCCTTTCAGATATTAAATATATTGTTGTTAGTGTTATTATTTACCCGAGAACTCTTATCGACAAGCATTACCAGACAGCTCTAGGTACTGTTTGTAATGTTACCTTAACAACTATTAGTTTTTTGTACTCTACAGTAACTCAGAACGGATGAGATTAACCATAGACACAAAGGATAATTATTTACTCAGATGGTTTATAACTACAGTATCCCTCGCCACTGGTTACACAAACTAAAAGATGTTCATTAGACATCAGTTCTAGATCTTGAGTCAAAATAAATGTTAACAAAAGGAAATAGAGTTTTGTTCCTCTCTGTGTTCTGGAGATAATAGTGTTTCAAAGGACTGTTCAGAATAACAGATCATTTTGAGCTGAAATGCTTAAGTTCTTCTTGTTGTTGGTTTCTGCAGCATGATATCAAGTACTGTTTGCCTAAACAGTTAAGAAGAAACATTTCAAAATGTAGACTATATATTACACTTTAGTTTTGTAAGTTCAACAAATAAGTTGCAGTAAAATAAGCAACAATTGTAGTAAAACTTTTCCGTCCAACTGTCCCTCCAGTGCTTTAGTGTTTTCCACTTTTAGCAGACTAACAGACAGTGACTGAAGCTGTTGCTCTGCTCTTTGATTTGACAAGGCAAGTCATTAACAGGCAGAAAGAACAAACTGAATCATGGAGAGGTGTAGGTTTGTTTATATGGACTCTGAAAACCCACAGCTGTTAGTAAAAAGGACAATAGGGTCCCTGTGAGCCCTTTAAAATGAGTGTTCACATTGTTAGACAGGCTTTAGAGGCTAAGTGGGAATGCAGTGGAGAAACTTGTTTTTAAAGTTTTTACATATTTTAGAATCTTTTAAAAGCATTATGATAGTAGTTACATCTGCCTAACTTAGGTTTCAGACCTTACACATCTGTCGATTATTTACATTAGCTGTTGCTTAAAGTAACTTTTTGTTTAAATTGGCTTAATGAAACACAGATGCATTAAGGCAGGGGTTTTCAACGTTTTCCAGGCCAAGGACCCCCAAACTGATGGTGAAATGGAGCGGGGACCCCCTAATTATATATATTGTATGAAATTGTGTTATATCACACCGGTCCCTGTCTATTAGTCACTCTATTACGAATGGAATCGTGTAAAAAAAGAAATTTTGCCCTGGGATTTTTAAAGTATTTCTGATTCTGATGGGACAGGTGTTGTGAATGAAACAGTGCCCAGATTGAAAGAGCTCTTGTGTGTCGCCTGATATGTGCATTGATGACATAAAGAAATATTCTGCCTCCATTTATCTGTTTACTACAGTCTGTTGAATTCATGTTAATGTGTATTTAAAATTCAATTCGTGGAATATAACAAAAAGTCTAATCAACCAAATCTTTCGCGACCCCCATTTAGTATCTCCATGGACCCCCTAGGGGTCACGGACCCCCTGTCAAAGACCTCTGCATTAAGATAAAAAAAAAAACTACTGATGGTGTCTAAGTAACGTTTTATTAGTAGAGCTTCAGATGGATGGCTCATTGCTACTTTATACAGTTCCTGTTTTTTATTCTAGAAAAACACAAATTTTGTCCCGTTTATTTTTTAGCTTCATTAACGTAGGCACTATTATTAGTCCATTCAGACACAGTCAGTGTCTCATAATGTTTGGTAAATTTGTTAAAAGTAGACTATTTACCTGTGTAACCCTAACTTACTTCACTTTCATCCTTTGAACTCAGCAACTTTCTTGTAAATTAGTTCTATTTAGAAAAATTATCATATTAAAACGCTAAGTTATTCTACCAAGAGCTGCATTATTCAACTTAGAGATGGTGTCAGGGTTTGGTTGTGGTTTAGAGCAGCGGTCCCCAACCACCGGGCCGCGGACCGGTACCGGTCCGTGGGTCATTTGGTACTGGGCCGCACAGAAAAAAGTATATATATATATATATATATATATATATATATATATATATATAT